GCCCTTGCCCCCAGGTGTGACAACCAAATAAATATATCTCCACATATTGCCAATAGTCCCCTGCTGGACATAACTACTCCTGGCTGAAAACTTCTATTAGAATTCAGTTCAGTTTTTCTTAGCTATCCCATGAGGACCTGGGACTAGAGTTACAAATTAATTTCCATGCAAAAACTAAAAAAAAACCACCAAAAACCCTTGAACCAACAGAAATTGGTTTAAGATCTTCTTCCAGTTGCAGTGTGATAATGTTGCCACGTATGAAAGTCAAGTTTTGTAAAGCAAACTTTCTTCTTTATTGGACTACAGAAAAGAAACATTAAGCAGGTCAAGCCTGGCCCTGTGGAGATGAGAGAAAGGGAAGAGATGTTTGGAAGCAGTGCTTCTTCACAGACAAGGTTTAATTCTAGTCATGTGACATGAAATGAAGAGGACAGAGATTGGCAGCTGAGCAACTGACAACCTCATGGCTTTAAGGAGCATCTCTGTACTGATGACCTCACAGTTTATATATTTACTTCTCACCTCTCTCGTGGTAGCCAATCTCTTAATCCATCTGCCACTCAATCTCCACTTGGTTATCATATAAGCATTTCAAATTCAGCCTGGCCAAAATGAAATTGATTATCTGTCCTAAACATGCTCCTACATAGTAATTCTCATCTCAGTGAATGGCACCACCGTAGACCAGACTACTCAAGGCAAACCTGAAAAGTCATTCTTGATTCCTGTGTTCCTCTTTCCTTCACCTTCCATATCAAGGTCAATGGTTAACTCCGCCAGAAAACACATCCCTGTCTGCCACTTCTCTCTAGCTTCATGTCTGCCAACCTAGACGAAGACATTATCATCTTTTGCAGGACCATGGAATTAGTCTCTTAATTTCCAAGAGTCCCCTTTTTTCTCCTACAACAGGGTTTCTCAATCTTAGCATTATTCACAATTTAGCATTATTTATAATTCTTTATTGTGGGGATGCTGTCTTGTGCAGCTGTAGGATGTTAAGCAGCATCCTTAGTTGCCAAATGTCCCTTGAGAGTTGAGAACTCTGCCTGACATACATTCTACGCACAGGAGCATCGTTTAGAAATGTAACTTGCATAATGTCACTCCCCTGCTGAAAACCCAATGTCTTCCCTTTAACTTTAGAATCAAATCCTAGTTCTTTCCCATGGTATATAAAATGCTCTATGATCTGCCCTGTCTACTTCACTAATCTCATCTCTTCCATACCAAATTCTCCCTCATTTACTAAGCTCCACCCACACAGGTTTTCCTTCTGTTCCTCAAACTTTCCAAGCTGTTTCAACCTAACCGTTTGCATCGTCTGTTCCCTCTGCCAAGAAGAGTGCATCCTCCCAGATCTTTGCATGGCTCACTGTCAGTGTTACTCAATAAGCAAAGTAAGCACAGGCGTACTTTAGTAAACCTTTTTTTAAAAAAAACACATCAAAGATTCTACTTCTAAGTATGAATGGCATGTATTTCTCTCCCAACCCTACAGCACCTCTCTACAGAATCAAAGTCTCTTTTCAAATCCACAATCCCTGACAAGGACAGCATACTCAGTAAGCAAGGTAAGCACTGGCTTAAGTGCTTATTGTGTATTTTGCTCCTGCTCAGTGTTCACAAATACATATGTCAGATCAAATGTTGCCTCCTGAGCATGGTCTTCCCCAACCAACCTAAACCAGCTCCTTATGGTCATTTCCCATCACATCGCTCATCTGTTTCCTTTATCATGTTAATCACACCAGAACAGTGTTCTGCTGTTTGCTTGGTGCCTTCCTCTTTATTAGCGTGTAAGCTCCTGATCACCAAGCACCTGTCAGTTCATCATACTATGGCAGTTTACATGTTGCTATGACGCTGAAAGCCATGTCACCAGTATTTCAAATACCAGCAAAGTTACCCATGGTGACCAGGTTTCAGCAGAGCTTCCAGATTAAGACAGACTAGGAAGGAAGGCCTAGGGCAGGGGTGGGAAACGTGC